TTCACTGTAAAACAATAATTCAGTGTTTGAAAAATGATTCAGTGAAAAACAATAATTCAGAGTTAGGAAAATGATTCAGTGTTAGAAAAATGATTCAGTGTAAAAAATGATTCAGTGTAAAAAATGATTCATTGTAACAAATGATTCATTGTAAAACAATAATTCACTCTTAGAAAAACGATTCAGTAAGGAGGACTTCCTATGAGTAGGAAATGACAATGTAATGTGCTTTTACTCTCTGTTGTTATTCCTTTACACCCACGCAATGGCATTAAAAACAGACACGGCTGAGCTGCATTAGGAATAAGAGGGAGACAAACAGACCCCAGTTCAGTCCTGCAGTGCTTAAGCTACAGTTGTGTCAGCATCAATATGGGGCCCAATGATGATCCCACAGATCCCCCTGACTGGCTGCTAGTGTCTTGCATTCTGATTGGCTAGATGAATCCTGCTCGCTGATTGACTACTACTATCCTGTTCCCTGATTGGCTGCCAGTAACCCACTCTCTAAATGGTTAGCTGAATCCTGCTCTCTAATTGGCTGCCACTATCCTGCTCTTTAATTGGCTGCTGGTATCCTGTTCTCTGATTGGCTGCAGGCATCCTGCTTTCTGACTGGCTGCCTGTATCATGCATTCTGTTTGCCCAGCTTAATCATGCAATCTGATCGGCCAGCTGAATCTTGTTCTCTGATTGGCTGCCAATATAATGCTCTCTGATTTTCTAGCCCAATCCTGCTCTGATTGGCTGCCAGTATTCTGCTCTCTGCATGGACAGTTTGCAGTTTGTGTATAAAATGTTTGAATGTGAAGCAATATTTTAGGATGTAACACATCTTTTTGCAAAGTAAACATGTTTTAAGTTACTAAACCAAGAATTAAATGGATGTAGCCCAACCTCAGTGCTGTAGCCTAGACTGCCATACATATTTTAAGTAATATTACGTTTTTAATGAGTTTAATTAAACCTTAATTTTCACACTTGTTCATGATACAGAACGTTGCAGCATGTTAAGCTACTATTCATGGGCATTTTGGAAGTTTATGATAGCTATAGTTCTTTATAGTTTACAGTACAGTATATTTACAGTACAGTTTAAAAATTGTACTATGTTCGTTCAGCAGTGACTTGCATCCCTGTTCGGGAACGCACCCCAGAGTGGTTTGATGTGAAATGTTCCGTTCTAGAGAAACCTATCAGAACCACACAGTAGTGGTGACAGGAACCAGATGACTGAAGTGTTTAGCCTCTTAAAGCTACATCTTAGAAAGTTATTATACAAAATGGTTATGTATATAATGGTTATGTATGGTTATGCCACCTGATGCCTGAGGCATTGTTTTACGATTGTTTTAAGATCACGTTTTGGTCAAAAATATATTTTCGAAATTCCTTCATAGCAGAGAGTATCTGCAGGGCGTTGTAAGGCAAAATGGTCCCAACAGTAAACTTTTTTTTCCAAATTATTTTACATTACATATAAAAACTCAGAAGATTGCTATATCCTATACCTGTGTTGTAGACATGGTGTTTCCTGGTTCCTATCAGCACCACTGTAAAGAACTCTGAATCTGCACATTTCTCTGCAATGAACCATTCCACATCATACCACTTTGAATGACTGTTTGCATCTCAAAGAGTGAATTATTTAGGAAAAAAACATAAAAATCTTCTTTAAAGAAAGCTGTTGGCCTTGTTTTTCTAAAAACGCAAATAGTATTTTTTACTGAAATATGGCTTTGTATCTCTGAAAGTGTAGTGCTTCCTCTTTGGATCGTAAACTCAATTCAATTCAATTCAACTTTTGTCACTATACCTATACAGTGGTACTACACTGGGCTACTTCTCTGGTGCATGAACATTAAGACGAGTCCACATGTACTAGTTGGATAACAGACAGTATGTATACACAAACATATAAAAACCAATAACTAGACAATATATACAGAATAAACTAGAGGCACAGAAGTGTTCTGGTGCATAGACAGTGTGTACACGTATGTGCAACCATATGGCGGCAATCTTTAGAAATAGATCTAGTGTGTAACTTATACTTAAGTGTTCTGTAAACAATGTCATAAATGTTTGTTCAAGTGTTCATTCCAAGTAAACAATACGTGAGTCAACAGTAACACGGAGAGAGTTTGGAGTTGGGTGATCTGCTGGGTGATTTGGGTGTGACCAGTTTTACAGCTACCCAGGTCACAAAAACAACCCCTAAAACACTTGTGGCCTGACCCAGAATAGAACCCATGCCATGGCAGTGAGGCCACCAAATGCTAACCACTACACCACCAAGGTGGAAACAGTCAAGAACAGAGCTCCCCCTTGTGGATGTTTGCACACTCATGCAACCAACTTCCAATAATATTCTTTAAGCCCTAATAAGCAAAAGCAGATCAAATCTGTACCTTATTATTTAAAAAGTCCATCAATATTTACAACTGCTTTGAATGAATATTAAAACTATTAATATTCTTATACATTTCTAATGAAACATACACAAATTGTTCTTTGGCCCAGCCCAGATATTAGAATACACTATTATACTATATACCAGAGAAGGGCAGATTTTTACCTGCCGGTAAAAAGTAACTGGCCCAATTTCAGCACCCAGACTTGGCCCAGTCCATTTTGAGTGACTGCACGGGTCTGGCCTGAGTCACTCGGCCCAACTCTGGAGTCCATTCTAAATTGTTCAGCATAATCTTTTAATATTTCAATGACTCTGGGCCCAGACTGGTTCAAGTCCAGCAATATTAAATATTGTAGTTCAAAATATTCTGCATGTTAATTTTAGAGAAGTAGTTCTGCAGCATTTATTCACTAGATTATTTCATAGGCACTCTTATTGTGAAGGCAGGGCCAGCTCACCAGCTGTGTTCTGTTAAATTAGGAAGAACAAGTGAGGCTAACACTGATGGCAGAGGAAGCAAGACAAAGTAAGGCTTGGAGCACACTGTCCGTTAAAACTCTCTTAGTGTACGGCGTGGCTGTGGCCAACTACAGCCCTTTAATAAAGCACAATGACTTGTGCATCAGCTGTGCCTTCTTCAATAGCAGTAAATGCTACAGTACTTTAACAGTGCTTTTTTATGTAAGCCAAAAATAACCATAATCATTACTTATTTTATCATTATGATCCATTATATTTCATACTCTAATTACAAATACATTATAAGTACATTAAAACATTTTATTTGATCATTATTTTCCTTCACTTCCAATTACTATTTTGCATATATCTAAACCTCAATTTATCAGTTACATGCAGCTCAAGCAAAAACATAGCATTTGTTCAGATTCTCAATCATTTAAGGCGAACAGAACAAAATTACTCAGAGCATCATAACCAACTTACTCCTCTTAGTGGAGATCAGGCCTCCGCAATCCCAGTGTAGACAGAACAACACGGGTTAATGCAGCAGAGCATTCTATCATCTGCCACAGTTTAAAGAAAATAATGTGCATTATCATATATTAAGCCACTGTGTACATGTACTGCTGTATCACGACTTGTAAAGTGAACAGTTTTTGAAGAGCAACTATGTGCACCATGAATTTCAATGACTACACCAGAAATCAGTTTGAAACAATTGCCTTAATTGTCTAAATAGAAATAAAACACAACTTGCCCACATCACAGACAAAACAGGCAGAATAGCAAGGACACATAAATAAACAGTTGCAATGATGCTTAAAAAACAATTACAAAGTAAATTAAAAACTGGTGTGTGCAGTACAGCATTGTGCTGGATTATACGTATACACTCACTGGCCACTTTAGAACAGCTACCTTGTATCTACACTCATTGGTTAGTTTCTGCTCTTCTGCCACGCCAACACCACTCATTCAACGTCTCTTGCTCATATTTGAGGCTTTATGCTCGAAATTCTTTGTGGATGTAACGTAGGAAGCGGGATGCAAGTGCGAGCTGCTTTTATTTAGATTAGACTTGGCTTGAGCCCAGAAACTCAGCAGCAAAGGTTTGTAGCACAGATAAATCCATGACGAGACAAAACAAAGTAAAACAGAACTAAACCAGAAACAAAACCTACAACCAGAGAAACAAAACCTACAATCCAAGAAACAGGCAACAGCAGGTGTATAGACAATGCAAGACGAAGGAACTGAGCAAACACCTGAGACTAATAAGAGGGCGGGGCTACAGACTATATGCAGGTGGAGCAGGTGACAAGGGGGCAGGACCAGGGAGGAGACCGACCAAAACAACAACAAAGGCACATGTTACAAGAGTATAAAATGAACAAATTATGATATTTGGTTTAAGTAATTGGCTGATTGAAAAGCTGCTGTTGCGCCAAATGAACCATTACTCACCAAATGCCAATGTGGTTTGAAGCCTGCAGAAGTTTCCAGAAGCCGTTCTAAGTGCACAGTTCCCGCCTCCACAGTGGAACATGACGGCTCAGATCTGTAAAAGCTCACTCACCCCACCTCAGGACAGGTGAAGGTGGCCCACCTTAGTGTGATTGGTTAGCAGAATCCTGCTCTCTGGTTGGCTGCCAGTATCATGCTCTTTGATTGACTAGCTGAATCCTGCTCCAGTATCTAGATACTGGCAACCCATCAAAGAGCAGGATTCAGCTAGCCAATTAGAGAGGAGGCTACAGCTAGCGATCTCCCTATCACCCCATGGAGCAACAAGTCCTGGTGGTGATGTGGAATCCAAGTCCAGCTCTTCCCATTGATCCTGTATTTGTCCAGCACGTGCCATTGTCTTGTGGCCCAGCAGTCCTCCCAATAGCCAGTCCATCTCTATATGTAGATGAAATATATGTAATGTATTTTTTAAATATATGGAAATATAGTTGCTTTGCATGTGAGAAATGAGAAAAAACAAAGATTCTCTGAGAATTGCGCTCGTCTACTAATATTGTTGGTTAACAACAGTGATATATCTGTGGATTCAGTGTATTTATAATCATTGTTAGCCCCCTTTTTGTCCAGTCTAACCCACCCCCTCCTGTACTTTTAGACAAATCAGCAGTGATTGAAAACGGAGAGATCAGGCTGAATGGAAAAGGGAAGAAGATACGGAAGCCCCGGACCATTTACTCCAGCTTCCAGCTTCAGGCCCTGAACCAGCGCTTCCAGCAGACTCAGTACCTCGCCCTGCCTGAGAGAGCTGACCTGGCAGCAAAACTGGGCCTAACACAGACACAGGTACTGCCCTTACAGCACACTCTCTGGAAGCCCCTGTGTGAAAAACAAACAAACTGCAACAGCACATTCAGAAGCGCAACAGCACATTCAGAAGCGCAACAGCACATTCAGAAGCGCAACAGCACATTCAGAAAAGCAACAATACATTCAGAAACGCAACAATACATTCAGAAGTGCAACAGCACATTAAAAAGCACAACAGCATAATTCAGAATTACAACAGCACATTCAGAAAAGCAACAATACATTCAGAACTGCAGCAGCACATTCAGAAGTGCAACAGCACATTCAGAACCGCAACAGCACTTTCACAACAATATCACATTTATAAACACAACAGCACATTCAGAATTGCAATAGCCTATTCAGAAAAGCAACAGCACATTCAGAACTGCAACAGCGCAGTCAGAACTGCAACATCACAGTCAGAAGTGCAACAGCACATTCAGAAGCGCAACAGCACAGTCAGAACTGCAACAGCGCAGTCAGAAGTGCAACAGCGCAGTCAGAAGTGCAACAGCACATTCAGAACTGCAACAGCACAGTCAGAAGTGCAACAGCACATTCAGAAGTGCAACAGCACATTCAGAAGTGCAACAGCACAGTCAGAAGTGCAACAGCACATTCAGAAGTGCAACAGCACAGTCAGAACTGCAACAGCACAGTCAGAACTGCAACACCACATTCACAAATGCAACAGCATATTCAGAAAAAAAATCCTTCAGAAAGGCAACAATACAGTCAGAAACACAAGAAAATCTGTGGCTGCTTCTGAATTTGCTTTCACTTTTTTGTTCATTAAAATTTAGAATGCAAAGCTAATTTTAGGTATTTTTTCATATTTCTGTCAATTCCAAAGTTTTTGCAATTTACAAAGTTTTAAATTATGCAATTTAGAGCTAAATGCAAAGCAAAATTGAGCACAGTTTTGCAATTCTGCATGGTTGCAGCAGTTAAATTTGCAAGATTTTTTTTTTCATGGTAAATCTATAATGTGCCCAGACAGACTCCAGATGAGTCACCAGTTGTGACACTGAGCTGTGAGTGACATCCAGATAGATTTAGCCAAAATGTTTTCAGCTTCAAGAAATAAGAACAGCACCACTCAACTCCAGATTATTAGAATGGTATTTGTACTGTATTACATTTGCGATGTTTCAGTCATTACTTTGCAACAAAGTGCGAAATACAGGGGTCCTGGGGGGTCCAGGATCCTCTGATTAACCTTTTGTACCACCAGAATGTCTCAAAATCAAAATTCTGTGGGGTTGGATCCCTGAAAATAAACATATTGTGACGTGATGCTGTCCTTTAGGGAAAAATAGAAATTCATATACAATTTCAGGAAAAGGTCACTGTATGGCCTGCTTCAACCACAAACAGCAACCTTCTGTCTTTAATGTTCTTAAATGACTTAGAGATGCAGCACTGGTCTGCCTCAGGGTGGCGCTGTAGCAAATGTAGGTTTCATTCAGTTGGTCTTTCATAACCAAGTACCTCTCACTATGCTTGGGATGCCTCTGAAAAACCTTCTAATATGCCACAGCAAATTTGTAAATCTGAAAACTTGCCCAATTTCACAAGAGATTGGTGGAAAGAGTGAATTGTTAGTCATTTCTCAAACCAAAGACACTAAGGAGATGTGTAAGATCTCAGTTAATGTGAAGAATTGCGCATTAGAAAACCAGAAAAGAGCATTTCCAAACGAAAAATTGCCGAACCAAACATTTGGTTTCCACTGTAGCTAGCGTCAGCATTGCTGTTGCGAGTAAGTTAGCAGCTAGTCAATGCTGGAATAGCCAGCCAACATGGGACCCCCCTGAATACCAGGGAGTATTTTGCACGCTGCTTCGACAAATGTTCAATTGTCATTCATTGAAAATGTTCTTTGGGGAACCAAAAATGATTCTTCAATAGTATCACTCTACAGCAGGGGTGTCAGACTGACTTCCTTCCAGGCCACAGCTCCACAGAGTTTAAAATTTCAGCTAATTAGCAAGGCACTCTCAAGTTGAATTAAGAGCATTAGAATCTGCAGAGCTGTGGCCTGGAAGGACCCCTGGTTGCCACTTCTGTTCTAAAGAGTGAATTCTTCACATGACGCTACTCTGCTGACCTCTGACTCTTTCCTCGCAGGTAAAGATATGGTTCCAGAACAAACGATCCAAATACAAAAAGATAATGAAACATGGCTCGGGTGGGCCAGAAGGAGAACATCTTCAGACAGCTGCAGCTTCAGGAACTCAATGTTCTCCGGCGATGCCTCCATTATGGGATGTTTCCATGTCAAACAACGGCGCCCCCATCCACACTGGAGGATATATGAACTCCTTTGGGCACTGGTACCCAAGTCACCATCAGGACTCTGTTTGGCCGGAACTCAAATGATTTTCGTGGGATGAGTGAAATTCATTTCATTCTGATTCTCACAGCACCAATCAACATATTTACCACTCTGAGAGCCTCTGAAAACATCAACCAAACATAGAGGTCTCCCCTCACGCCTTCTCTTTATCATGAAGACTGACGAGTCTCAACTTTCCTTTTTTTCCTATCTGAGCTTTGGGATTATTCAGAAGACTGAAATGGTGCGATGTTCTCCTGAATATGGAATTTCTTAAATGCATGTCATTTTGAATAAAATACTGATTCTTTTTAGAGTGATGTGCTCATAGTTATTTATGTTTATGGGTATTGTTTTTTCCATTTATGTTTATTAGGGTATAATCTCTTGGACTGATTCTTTTAAAGGAATTTCAGCATCTCTGTCTGAATCAAGAATTAAAACCGATGATTATGAAGCAAATATTTAACAACATTCTCAGAAAGGATGTGTAAAACAACACCCCTTTTGTGTTGTTTTTTTGCACATTTTGTCATATCAACAACACATATATAAAAAAACAAAAACAAAATGACACGTCTTCTGATTTTTATGTAAAATGTTGATAATTGAAAAATAGTGTTAAATCTGAAAAAAGTTCTTTAGGGACTAGATTGCCTTGTACGTACATCTTTGCTTTAAATGGATTAAAAATATATACATTTTAGGCCAAAACCTTCTCAAAACTTCCATAAAACATCATCTCAGGCATCAGACAACACATTTATAGTATAAGCTATTGTGTAATAACTTTCAGTGGGGGAGCTTTTGGAGGCATTCACAAAATTCACGGATTCACGAAAGCTTTCTTAAGAAAAAACTTGCAAAGGTTCTTAAGACAAATACTAAGAAGTTCATCAGAATGTTCTTAAATGCAACTCTTGAAAAAAACCTAACCCTCTACTGCACACATTATGAGAGCAATTAGAAAAAATTCAATTCACTTTTTTGCATAAAATGATCCTTGATTTATTTTTTTGGACCTGATTATTAAATTCAAAAACATAAAAAAAATGTGTGCAGGGGTCCTTTTGGAATATGTTGCCTTGAGGCAACATTGTGCAACAATGGGAATAAATGATATAGAGCCGTGTTCCCTGAAGTGGTGAGACCTGGCTTGTGACTGGCTAAAACCATTCCAGTGTCACGCAATGTTGCTTCTAGGCAACAAACTTTTTTGCAAATTCTCATAAAAAAAGAATTTATATTGATTGTTAAAAATGAGGTTTAAATGTGCCCACTAAGAGATAGTATGACCAATTACATGCTTCTAATTGATCTACTCAAACTTTTCCCTTTATTGTTAACCCTATCATTGTCATTAAATATGTACAATGTTATTGTAAAGTGAGGAAAATGAGTTTGTTGCCCTGAGGCAACATTGTGCAATAGAGGGTTAAGAGGTTCTCAGATATTCTCTTAAGATAATGTTAATTATTTTCGACCATTATTACGACCCAGAAGGATAAGCGGTTTAGATGATGGATGGATGGATGGATGTTTTACCATGTATCATAAAAGACTCAAGATACAGTTTGAATTTGTGTTAACTATTATATCCGTTAATTGGTTTAATTCGCTCAGAGGAGCTAAATGAAGGAAAAACATTAAACCAAGCATTTAAAAAATTTAGCAAGTAACTGGTGGAAGAAACAGCCAACAGTAAAAAAAAAAAATCATAATTGCGAGGTAACAGATGAGGATGGGCAGGAAAAAAACACATTTAAGATTTTCAACCTTCAGACATTTTCGTGAATCTGACGCCTGGTTCTAATCACCACCACTGAGAATTCTGACTCTGTACGTTCCTCCAGAACAGAGCTTTCACATTAAACCACTCTGAATGTCTTTGTTTACATTAAGAAATGTTAAAAGATGGGTGGAATTCAGTTTTAAGGATTCAATGTGTGGTTTTAACACATCTATTTTAAGAGTGTATTTGCTGTAATTGGTTTTAGTTGTGTAAAGTTTAGCAAGGCAGGAACAGATTTGATTATAATGCAAATAACCGAAAGTCTTTAAAATGGACGATAACCAAAATGTGTTAACAGCCATGAAATGACTGGTAATAAATCAGCTGGAAGGATACACTAAAAATTTGTTTTTTAATAATTTGCCTGTTTTTTTCAGTACGGCTTTCATGATTACTTGATTGAAAACCAATTACTCCAAAAATCTTCAACTGTAAGCGTATGCTAAAATGTATGTTTAGAATTTGCCTGTATTCACCATTAGGGCTGTAATTATTACTTAATTAAAAGCCAATTACTCAAAAAAAAATACTGATTAAAATTCATTTTCAATGAATCAGCTTAGTCATACATTTTTAACTTGAATAATACAAGGGGATGCACAGGTCATTATAAAGCTGTGTATTGCAGGTCAGTATGAAGCACCATTACTACAGGTTCATGGATGGGGGGCTAAGCCTACACTGCTGGGTCTACGGGCATGGTCTGGTTGAATAATGACGTGATGACGCAGTTAAATAATGAAAAATAAATGAAAATAAACTATAGATGATTTGAACCAGTAATATGAATTTGATTGGGAAGGGTAGGGGGCTAAATAACATTTAAGGGGGCTAAAGCCCCCCTACCACTGGCCTAACGATGCCCCTGTAAAGCATAAAAATATCTCCACAAGGGGGAGCAATTATCACTCAGTTCTCTTTTGTGAGCATCAATGAATGAGAGGAAACCCACACCAGCAGGATCTCATGAATGCATATGCTTGTAGACACAAATTGTGAAAAAAAATGTTTGCTGTTACAAGTTGTATGTATATTCAGTAGATTATATATAAGATATGGCAACATTTAAGTAACATATAGTAAATAGTTCAAGACAGTAACGCATCTCAAAGACAGCAACTGACACTAACAAGGCTATTAATCTAACAAGGAACAAAAAGCATTTTGAATGTGTTCTGTAGTGTTTTAAGTTGTTGTCTGCTATGCTGAGCTAACACAAGTGGACTGAGCGTCCCACTGCAATACAGACTAAAGAATAAGGAGATGATGAAGACTCATATCTGAACGCACAAATTCGAATCTCTGGTGTTGAAGAAAGATGAAAAATAGATTTGTTGTATTTGCTGAGCGACGCACACACACCAACGCACAAGTATAAATGCTCACAACAGCGTAGGGCACTTTCATGGGCTACAGCATAGATTTGCAATTGATGCAGGGGCATAAATCGGCCTAAAGTTTGGGCTTTTTACCGTTGTGCCAATGTCACTGACCCATCATGAAGCACAAACAAACTGACATCCCACGTTGCGCATGGGTCATCTCCCAAACTGGAAATTGCCAGTCTGGAAGACAGCAAACTTCATTAAATGTCTATCCCAGACTTCTCTTCTTAAAAGCTTTGAAAGGAATAAAAGATAGAGAAGGGCTAAAGGTTATTGTTATCTGACCCTTATACAACCAACAAATTGCTAAGGATCCAGTTTGGAGAAGAATCTCTCGTGACAATACTGCCCTTCTGCTGGACGCCTTATGCAGCACTTGTGGTAGAGGTACCACTTGAATGGTTAGAAGAGACCCGAGAGATGTTTTCAGATGTGTCTACTGTCTGCAGGGTGTGGCAATTCCTTTACTAGACAGCCAGTCAGGACACTATCAAAGGTACCTCTATACAATGTAGTGATAAAGGTGGTGGAGGGGCTGCTGTCCTTCATGGCTAAGGAGGTAGTGCTGAGAGGTCGTCTGAGAGAGCCTCAGTACGACATTGACACTATATGTTAGTATCATTCCATCCATAAAAAAGGAAGCAGGCAATTAAGTGGGATGTGTTCACAAGTTTTGTTTGTTAGAGTCTGAGTTGAAGACAGCAGGAGAGATGAAAAAAGAATGGGAATTGATGAAACAAAAAGAAAGACAAAACTACAGTACACAAAAGAAAGCTAAAAAAAGAGACATGCACCAAACACAGATGAGTATACTTTTAAAAATATGGTTCTTTAGTAAAGGCAACGGTTATGTTTAGAACCATGAGTCCTACAATCAACCATTTCATGCTTAAATGGTTCTTTGCATGGTGACATGGTTCTTCAGATTGATGGAGGATGTGTTGTATATGTTTCTATATAGTACCACCACACAAGCATGAAGTAGTTTCATATAGAATTCATGGTTGTAAATAGAACCATTGCCTTTACTAAAGAACTCTTGAAGAACCATCTTTTTTGAGTGTGCAGAGAAACGCAGAACAAATACAATGAGCAACCAAACAATGCAGGACAGAGCACAGTGAAACACAGGGATTATAATTATACATATGATCCTCAAAGAGGACAAAGTCATGGGGGAGCTAGGATCAAGTAAGGGCCCATAAATACACGCTGGGCCTGGACCAGGGGCAGGGGATTGGACAGATTGGACAGAGACAAGAACCAGGCCTGGGACAGAAACAGAGCCAAGATAGAGAAGGCAACAGGCAAAGGAACAGAGACAGTGAGTGTGTTTACATGCACTTAATAATCCAATAACTGCAGAAAATCAGATTTTATCAGTAATCCAATCAACGTGTTTACAAGCACTTGAATAATCAGATAATGGGGAAACTCCGGGTCTACATGAGTCAGACAGTAATCAGATTTCTGCTTTGCAACCAATAAACTCACAGAAGAAGACGTGGTGTAAACGTAATGTAAAACTCAAACTTCATGACGCAGGTTTTTTAAAACTTGAGCCACTTAACCTGAAAATATGAACATACATCATCTAGAAGATGAAGAACATTTAAATCCTTAATTTCGTCAAGCATGTAGCTGGTTTCAACGATGCTCCAAAAGTGTTTTATTGCCATCTTGTGGCTATGCTGCTTACTTAGTTCTGGTTCCGTGGTCTGTTTCGCACATGCAAAGACTGAAATATCCGAAAGAAATCAGAGTAAGAGTTTACATGCACTGAGAAATCTGATTACTGAGCTAAAATCTAGCTCTCTTTATCAGATTTCTAGGCCTTACTCCAATCTAAGAAACCAGATTATTCAAATGGTCATGACTAGGAACAGGACTTGGCTTAAGAGCTGGCCTGGATTTGGAGAGCTGGACCAGGAATAGGAACAAGATAACAGACGTGAGTCAAGACAGTGGTCACAAATGTCTTATATGGAAGCTAAAGACATATACTTCTCAGAAACATAGACTGATGAAGCTGTCTGAGATTGTCTGGAATAGACGCAACACAGAAATCCATATTTTTTCTTCCGCAGTTGGTTGCTTTGAAGTCTAAAATCAGCTGCATGTTTTGTCTGATCAGTGCAGCCACAAAACCATTGTTCTCTTTTGGAGAGCTGGTAAGGAGACTGTTCCTCACTGTTCCTCGGCATATTCTATAAATATTTCTCCAAGTCAGAAAGGTGTAATTCTTCTTCTTTTAGAGAGGAGAATGAAAAAGCCGCTGTGTAGACACCGGCTGACTTTAGAGCCGCGTTGTCCAAATCTGTGCCAGTGTTGGACTGCTACATTGGTCAGTTGGAAAATTGCTACATCAATAATGCAAAAACAGTAATGAACACTGTAGAACGTTGCATGTTGTGTCAGCCAGTACCAGATTTACATTGTTGCATTGAATTTGATATGCTAATCGAATTTCTGTTCCACCTTAAATAGTGCAGCAGTTACACGCTAGCACCCGTACAAGCATCTGAATGTAACTGTTACATCATTTAAGGTGGAACGGGAAACGAGAATAAAAAGCTAACTTCAGCTTCACCTAATCTTCTAATCCACTGTACGAGACTCAGTTACAGTCAGCAAACCGGGGCTGAACGACTTGAGGTTGCCAGGTTGAGGACTCTGAACCTCCTTGAATGAGCACAAGGCTAGCACAACAGTCAATTTTGACATTGGCAAGCAATGACGAGTCCTACACTATGGCCTGATCCCGTTTCTTATTTTTACACTTACCTCTTGTTTTCGAGTGTCATTTTGCCCCGTGGAAATGAGATACAAGAGTTAGTGGTTGAAATCTTCCCAACTTAATGGGACCCTCAAATAAAAAAGACCATTACTTCACTAATAGGCTACTAGCATTGCTCTGTAGGCATCCCTGCCAGTCTGTAGAGACAGCAGAGGAGGGTAAAGTTCAGCAACCTTGCTGCTGGGCTTTAGTTAAATTTAGGGCATCATATACCTTCAAAGATGAAGAGGAAAACATATTTAAGGTACATAATTAGGCCTTAAAACTATTGTCATACCTTTGAGCATCCATTTACATTCTTTTGTAGCCCAATGAATGAAAAATGTACCTGTGCAGTACCTTAATTTCTCAGTGAATACATCACCTGTAGTTACATTGTTGTTGCATGCATTGTTCATTTGTAACTACATAGTTATTAGACTACATCTACACATATGAAGTGGGACCAACGCCCTTTCTTGAAAATGCTTCTTCAATTTATATTTATGTTCAGCTTGTCCAGCCAGCTAAAACCATTGACGTCATCCCCCAAAATGAATGCTCCTCCTCAAAAACTCCTCTATCCTCTGTCTGTTTGTATGAATTTACTTAGTTAAGTAGTGATGATTTGCTTTTGCTTCTTTTATTCATTTACTTATTTTATATTTGCTGCATTACTGCTTTAAGGTCAACCCCAAAAGAGCTCTAGTTTAAAACTATAGCTATATCTAACCCATTTCTATATTCTAAATAGGTTATTGTGCTCTGAATATTGCCAGATGAGACATTTCCTGCACTGGTTTATACTTCACTCTGCTGACACCTAGTGGTTAAAAGCGGCAGTGAGGGAAGTAAACAAGCACTGGACAAACAACTCCAACCAGCTCCATTCTTGAAACACAAACCCCAGTGTGGAGAAGTGTGTAGAGCTCACTTTAGCTTTAAAACTGATGTGGACATGCTGGAAATGAAGACCGTATTCCATAAAGGACCTGAGAGCAGCCTTACACCAAGAACGAGGAAGGACTGAAGTGAATCTGAGGTCATCAGGTGAAGATGTCATACTATGGGGTGTCTGTGGAGCAGCTCAATGACCTGTTAACAGACGAGAATGGAGATTTCCGCATGCCGTCCAGAGATTTCAACCAAGTCTGGCCTGGAATTCTGCTCGGGAATGAGTACGCCTCTTACTTATGAGTGGAAGTACAGTTTAAAAGCGTTTATACTGCACTAGGTGTACTGGTTGAGATGAATTATGGGCATATACTGCTTTTGAATGACTCTGTATGTGAACGTGCAGTAGTAGCTTTGTAGAGTGCAGAGCTGTTTAAAATAGACTTTGGCTATTTATAGAAAGGCTCCTGAGCAGAGGAGTCACACACATACACATAGTCGGTTCTGGTGGCACCTTTAAAAAGGAGTTCTTTAGTAAGGACAATGGTTATATATGGATCATTCTACCAAAGTTGAACATTCTACCAGAGTTGAAAACACATTTTGGACGTTTAACCAACTTGGACTTCAGACTACACTCTTAAAAAGATGGTTCTTCAAGGGTTATTTAGTAAAGAAAATGGGTCCATATAGAACCATGAACACTCAAAGAACCCTTTGCATGAATAAAGGGTTCTTTGCATTGTGAAAGCGTTCTTCAGACTGATGGAGAATGTGGTGTAGATTGTTCTATATAGCACCAAAAAGGGTTCTTCTATTGTTACGATGCCAAGTTTGTTACAACAGAAGAACCCATGTTGGTGCTACATAGAACCCTTTTCAAAAGCACTACTAGAAGCTCTATATAGAACCATGTACAGCACATTCTCAATCAATCTGAAGAGCCCTTTCATGATGCAAAGGTCTTTGAGTGTTCTTGGTTCTATACAGAACCATTTTGAGAACCCTTGAAGAACGATCGTTTTCAAGAGTGTGGTCTGAAGTCCAAGTCGGTTAAATGTCCAAATTGTGTTTTCAACCATTGTTTTTTGTAAGGAACCTTTGAAGAACCCCTTTTAAGGGTACCAACAGAACTATATAGAACAATTTTCTTTACTAAAGAACCCTTAAAGAACCAGCATTTTTAAGCGTATACAGTTATTTCGCTTTGAGTGATGCTATAAGTCAATTGTGTTTATTTTATTTAAGTAAATAATTGAACATTTCACTTACAATCACTACCGAAACCTTCCCAAATGTTTCGGTAATGACTGTTTCAGTAGTGAAAATCAAAAATGCTAACCAGTACATAAACTAGCAAACACAGCTTTGAACTAACAAAAAATCTTAATCATAAAAAAAAAAAAATAATAATTGCAGAGAAAATATGCGTTTCGGTAGTGACACTTCTTAACGTTACACACTGATAATCATTACTTACTGTGTGGATCCAATTTAATAAATCAATTATAAAAATGCACAATAATAAATACTTTATAAATACATCTGCGCAGGTCTGTGGCTCTAAGTGTGCGGCGTTTGCAGCAGCTGGGAGTGACCCACGTCCTGAACGCTGCAGAAGGAGACTCGTTCATGCATGTAAACACGGGAGCAGAGTTTTACACCGGAACGGACATCGTCTACCACGGAATACCGGCCTGCGATACTGACCACTTTAACCTCAGCGTTTACTTCGAAGAGTGCTCGGACTTCATAGAGGAGGCTTTAGCATATAAAGGAGGCAGAGGTAAAGATAAACCTATAGTAAACTATAATTAGTAAGCTCTTATTTACATTACATTACATATAACAGGACTACAGAGTTCTAGATAAGGGTAGGCGATATTGCAGTCACAATACATGATGCTACATTTGATTATTCTGTGGTTCGAAGTTGGAACAGACAACACGCACCAGCAAAACAGCAGCACTACGTTCAAAAAAGGTTCAATGTATTTTATTTTCTTGTTTTTAAGCACCAAAAACAGTCCATTTATTTTTGCATGACTATTTCCAGCCCCTCTTAATCCAGGCTTTTGTTGTTACTTCATCTTTAAGACTGATTTATTCAAATGAGCTATGTTCTGATTGGCTGACTTATTTTGTGTCTCATTCAAAAAGCAGCCTAGACGGAATGGGCGGGGCTAAACTGCTGTAGGCTGAACAGGTGGATGTGTGTTGGTTTTCATGACATCACTAAAGCAATTAATTCAAAACAGTCTGTTTTTTGCAGTTAAGTTTCCATATATGGACTGTGTGGATTGGAAAGAGAACCATAGTGTTTACAAACTACCACAAACTGTTTTGTTTAGAAAAATTCAAGGCAAGTTGTTCGTTTTTCCATGATATGGGCCATTTAGGGCATGTTTACTGGTAACCAAATGTCACTAAACTACATTTCCCAGCAGCCCACACTTTAAACTGTATCATAGCATAATTTGTGGTGAAAGTCAATGAACATGTCTGCTTCCTACTGACCTTTAAGAGGGTGATCAGATGTTTGGGGGCAAGAAATATATGAAACAGCAGAGTTTTTTTGTGCACGCTTCCTTATTGCATCTATACCATATACACTGACCGGCCACTTCATTAAGCATCTACACTGATTGTCAATTTTATCAGCTCCACTTACCGTATTCGTGCACTCTGTAGTTAGTTTAGTTGTGCTGGTGCAAATGGATCAGAAATAGCAGTGCTGTTGGACTGAGAAAAGTCCACCAACCAAAAATTTCCAGCCAACAGCATCCTGTGACCACTGATGAAGGACTAGAGGATGACCAACACAAACTGTGCAGCAGCAGATGAGCTATTGTCTCTCACATCTACAAGCTGGACCGACAAGGTAGGAGTGTCTAATAGGGTGGACAGTGAGTGGACACAGTAACACAGTAGACACTGATCCACTCGTACCAGTGTAACACACACTAACATACCACCACCACGTCACTGTCACTGCAGTGCTGAGAATGATCAACCACCCAAAAATTGTCCTGACCACTGAAGAACAGGGTAACAAAGCATGCAGAGAAGCAGATGGACTACAGTCTGTAATTATAGAACTACAAAGTGCTTTTATATGATAAGTGGAGCTGATAAAATGGAGTAAATTCATACTACAATTTATATATTCAGTTAATTTCATGCTATTATTGTTATTTTTGTTCACTCTCTGTAGGGAAGGTGTACGTACACTGTCAGAAGGGATACAGCCGTTCAGCTTCGCTAGTCATCGCATACCTGATGCTGAGACATAGGCTGGACGTGCGAGCTGCTGTGGCCACAGTGAGAGAGAGACGGGAGATCGGACCCAATGACGGGTTTCTTTTGCAACTCTGCCAACTCAATGACAGACTGAGAGATGAGGGGAAGTTGTGAATTTTCTTGCTGATATGTTGATATGTATCATATGTGCAAGAGCCACCTGTGAACACAAGCACTAAAGTTTATTGAACCGTTAAAGTAGGTTACTCTAATAAAATTTACTTGATGAACTGGCTTAGTGATTTGTTCGCAATTTAAATCATAAACAGCCTCTCCTCCAGCCGTGCTTAGCAGTCTAATGATCCTCCACAAGGAGGAGCTATTAGCATTCAAGTTGGTTTTGTATCACTGAAAGAGAGGAAACCCACACCAGCAGGATCTCACAAATACATCCATGTTTGTAGTTACAAACTGCATGTATATGAAGTAAAATTAAATGTTTGCTGTTACAAACTGGGTGAGTATAAAGTAAAAATGTTTATGAAATAAATGGTTTTGTAACTAGGTCTAGATTGAACAGCTCAACAGTCAGATAACAGGTTAACAGACTACTCCGATAATATTCAGAGTTAGGCTGTAGCAAAGGTATCACTGTAAAACTGACACTTGAACATCTGTTACAAGCTTCAAATGCTTCAAATGTCTGTGTTTAAGCAGAGAAAGTGGTATTAAAGCCAGCATGGCAAGGTGAACGTACCCCCCACCATTAGCTTTGAGCTAACAATACACTGAAATTCCCATAGAGCTGCTACACTGAAAAAAATGGTTTGTCGGTTTAACCCAAATAAATTAATGTGTTAACAACATGGTAACAATTACTTAATGTGATAACACACACAGCACTGTGCAAAAGTTTTAAGCAGCTTAGAAAATTCTATTGTATATGAGCATTTATTTATTTAGAAAAACACTAATATTAGAATAAATACAAATATAAATACAATAAATATTTGTTTTACACAGCTGTTTTTGTTTTACCATTTCCAAACTTTTTCTCATAGCAAACCAGTGTTATTTGTAGTTACCATCCAATACTTGGTTTGGCTAATAAATAGTTGATTATGTAATTAAGTGTGCTGGTAATGGAATTCACCAAATCTATGTGGAGGCATCAGGGAGAAATCTGGAACCAGAATTTGTTCTTCAGACTAGCGTTTTTTGAAAACAAGAAAATCTAGTTTTTAGTTTTTTCCGTATTCATGTTTGTTTGTATTTATTCTAATAAAATCTGATGTTTTCACAAGCAAAAACACACTTTTTGCCAAGATAAAGCTTTTGAATAATGTGCTTGGGTGCTTAAGACTTCTGCACAGTACCTTCTATTAATGGTCAATTTCTGACCGCAGTACTGGATATTTTGGGTGGATTTCCAATGACGTAAACAGGGAGTGTACATGAGGGCATTTGAAAACAAAACTGGTGCAAACAATAATTAAAAATGGCTCAGTATTTAATTAATCAAAGACATTAAAATACTCAGAGGCACATTACAGATCCGTAACAATCTGACAACGTCAACAAACTGAACAGTAACCAAAAGATAAACAACAGGAAAACGTTTAGTTACTGCATAATAACAGATTTTCACACGTGTGAGTGTGTGATGTCAGAGCAGCTGCTCTGCGCTGTTTGTGGTGTGTGTTGTGTGTGGTGTGTGTGAGTGTATGTGCTGGATGTGCTGGAGCAGCTGATCACAGAACTCAGCACTGCGCTGTTTCTCCCTCACTGCTTCAACTTCCTGCTGCAGAAGAACAGAGTCCACCACACTGCCCACCTTCAGAACATCTGAGAGAGAGAGAGAGAGAGAGAGAGAGAGGAGGATGAGGATGAGCAGGAAGGACAGAGAGGCAGAGAAAGGGGTGGACAGGGAGAAAGAAAGAGGCCGACAGAGAGAGAGGTACAGAGATAGAGAGCGAGAGAGAAGGAAAGAGACAGAGAGCGAGAGAGAGGATAGAAAGACAGAGCGAGAGAGGAGGAAAGAGAAAGTGAGAGAGGAGAAATGAGAGACAGAGCGAGAGAGAATGAGAGAAAAACAGTGAGAGGAGGAAAGAGAGAGACAGAGAACGAGAGAGGAGAAAAGTGACAGAGAGCGAGAGAAGAAAAAAAAAGAGAGAGAGAGAGAGCCAGAGAGTAGGAAAGAGACAGAGAGCGAGAGAGGAGGAAAAAGAGACAGAACGAGAGAGGAGGAAAGAGAGACAGAACGAGAGAGGAGGAAAGAGAGACAGACAGCGAAAGAGGAGGAAAGACAGACAGACAGCAGGAGAGTAGAAAAGAGAGACAGACAGCGAGAGAGTAGGAAAGAGAGACAGAAAGTGAGGGAGGAAGAAAGAGAGCAAGAGAGGAGGAAAGAGAGAAGGAAAGAGAGAGAGCGAGAGAGGAGGAAAGAGAGAGTGAGAGAGGAGGAAAGAGAGACAGAACGAGAGAGGAGCAAAGAGACAGAGCGAGAGAGCAGGAAAGAGAGACGAGAGCAGGAAAGGAGGAAGGAGAGAACGTGAGAGACGAGCAAAGAGAGAGAAAGCAAGAGAGCAGGAAAAAGAAGGAGCAAGGGGCAGGAAGAGAGAGACAGAAGGACACAGAGGGAAAAGAGGTGAGACACAGAGAGAGAGAGAGAGAGGGAATGAGAAAAAAAAGGAGAGAAAGAGGAGAGAAGAAAGACTGTCATCAGTCAGGCAGTTTTTTGTTTTACCACCAGGTGGCACTACGCACTACTTTTTTTTCTTTAGTATTTTGGACAGATATCAATAATTTCATCTGATTCTCCTAAAAAAATAATATGGAGAAAAATGAGAACAGACCAGCCTTTAACAGTGTAACAACAACAACAACAACAATAATAATAATAATAATCATAATAATAATAATAATAATCATAATAATAATATGTTTTATTCAATAGAGCATCTCTGATACTCAAGGTCACTGTAAAATATAAAACGTAAAGATAAAGCACAAGCCAATAAAACAAGATTTTAAAATGCATATGTAAAACAGAAACGAATGAGACGTGCAGGCGCTCTCTCACAGCTCCCTCAGACCTTCTCACAGTCAGCCTCTCTTTATGAAAAGCCCAGCGGTGTAACTGTGGCTGTACAGTGACATCATCGCGGACATTTGTGTCAGTATAAATGAGCTGCATAAACACAGCTCACCTGATATCCCTGAAAAGGAAAGGTTTGTACTGCGTGGGGGGTGGAGGATCTTTATCGTGCTTGTGTTTCAGTGCGGTACAGAACAAAGCTGCTCTGTGTACAGAATGATGGCTAAATTGCCATTAGCTAATACAGCAGGGTTAGATAACACCAGTGGAACATGCTGAGTTAAAGAGCCCATATCGGTCCTGTTTGGTCATTCTGTGTTCATTCAGAGAAATACATACAAAACATTACACAAAAGCACAAAAACCTCCATTTTTTGGGAGTTTTTTCAGCTTTATATAGAAATCTGCAGGGATATTTTTCCACACCTCCAAAGTTCAGTCTTAGAAGTTGGTTATACTTTCTGCATCTCACAAATCAAGTAATCCCAAACACATTCAGTGCCGACTATTTTTACATGACCATTTCCCAAACTTTCTTATGACTCTTATATATGTAAATGACCTCTTTTCTCATTGGCTGCCCTGTACTCTGTCTCGTTCAAACAGTAGTCCAGGCTGAAACATACTTTAGAACTTCAGCATGAATGGGTGGGATTAAACTGCTGTAGGCTAAAGCGGTGCATGTATGTAAATGTGCTGGTTATTGTGACAACACAAACACAACAAATTCAAAAGGAGCTGTTTTTCAGCTTATTTTCCATAAATTAAGTGAGGAACACTGAGTTTTCCGTTGTATGGCCCCTTTAAACAGACAGGTTAGCATCAAATACTTCACTGTGCCTTTGAAATATAATGAGCGCATAAAAGCATAATAAAGAATAAAGGAGAATAAGAAGGTGACTGTAGAAAGAAACCAGAAACAAAGTATTGTGTTCTCATTATATTACACATATGTTGTAAATTAATGCGTATCCCTGACAGCTCATCACGCACACTCTTCTGCCTCTGACCACAACAAACACTGACTGTTATTCCTTGAAATGGTTCAAAAAGCTCCCCCGGCGCTGTTATGGTCGTTACTGCAGCTCCTGCCAAGTTCTGAAGAGTTTAATGTCTGGGGAGATTATAAATGTTCTGCTGGAAAAACCATCAGCCTCACCTGTCCACCACCTCAGCCAATCACAGCCTACATACAGACCACACGGGCCAATCCCGGGGCCTTTCCCACGTTTGCATGGAAACTAGATGACTTTCAAAGGGAAGAAAACAGAAACAGAAATCCTACAAGAGAAGAGAAGGAGATAGCAGGCCTGAAAATTTTGGTCTGAACCCAAATACAGTCCAAGAACTTTCCTTTGGAGTCAAACCTGACCTGCAGCACCAAGGTTTGAGTCTGAAACTGACCCGAGTCCAAGAAAATTCTGTCTGAAACTGCCTCAAACTGGCCCAGCAGCGCCCAAAGGGCCAAATAAAACCTGATATTTCTGATTATAGCACAGGATAAATTACTGCATAGCAACAATAAAAGTGTGATTAAAACTATCATCAATAAAAAAACATAATACACTAAACATATAACATATGTGACCAAACAAATTAAATGTTAACATCCACTTGGCTGCACCAAACTGTCCTCTCCTTGATCGATTCAGTGCTGTGCAAAAGGCAGAGAACACTCTTTATTTGTTTAATTTCCACCCTAAATAACTAAATATTATTTTCAATATTTAATGTGTCCCCCCATGTGCCCTCATTATAGCTTTCGTTCTTTTCAGGAGACATACTTTCAGTTTTTCGAAGAAATCTGCAGGGATATTTTTCCACACCTCTGAAGTTCAGTTATAGAATTTCATTTTCTGCTTCTTATGATCAAACTGGACTCTGGGGTGGTCAGTCCATTGTTCTGAGAAGACCAGCAACTTCTTTCTTTGATTTCTTCTTTTTTGTCTGTTTCCTTTTCTCAGTAAGGGCTTCTTAACAGCTACACATCCTTTCAGACTCATAGCGCTGAGTTGTCTTCTCACAGTGGAAGGATGGACAGAAACACCTGTAGATTTTTTCAGATCTGAAGCAGCTTGATTTTCTCCTTAAAGATGAAAGCTTTTAAATACTGTTTATCTGGTGGGGACAGTTTTTTTGTGGTCTACCAGATCTTGCAGGTGGTTGTTAAGGAGCTCCATTTTCTCTGTAAATTTTTGAACCCCAGTTTTGGAAACTGCTCTGTTTTTCACCTAATTGTCTTTGACTTTCCTTCCATATGCAAGTAGATCATTGTGTATCGAATCTCCTCAGAAATATCTCCTGAAAAATAAACTTGCTGACAAACTGTTTAGAGGTAGTAAAAGCTGCCAGCGTATGCAACTGGGTTCCATCAGGCTCGAACAAATATTTCAAGCTCTAGGGAAGATGGAGATGTAAAGGAGATGAGGAATGGAGGAAGGAAAGAGAGAAATGTGGAAGGCGCAGAGATGAGCAGCATGTGGTATTGATTAGAAGGGTGTGTGTTGAGCGCTGGTCAGACAGGCCAGTAGCAGATCAGAGTGTGTGATGGATGGAGTGTAAAAAAAGGAGAATAAATGAGGCTCTTTGAAAGGAAAGAAGAGAGGGATCAGTGAAAGAGTTCCATGATTACATCCATCCTTTACTCTCCATCAGAAAAGCCAGGGCTTAGGCCAGAAACATGCTTCACGCAAGGACGCAAACACAGATGCTTCAAGCTATGCAGACACGGTTTTGTGCGTAGCTGTGTTGAAAAACGTCACGCCCAATTCATTGTATTGTAAAGCATGCCGCCGCAGGACTCTGGATCAGTGGACATGTATTCTGTGGAGTGACGAATCATGCTTCTCTGGAAGAGTTTGGTGAATGCCAGGAGAACGTTATCTGCCTGACTGCATTGTGCCAACTATGAAGTTTGGTGGAGGAGGGATATGCTATGGGGTTGTTTTTCAGGGGTTGGCCTAGAACCCTCAGTTCCAGTGAAGGGAAATCTTAATGCCTCAGCAGACCAAGACAATTCTTTGCTTCCAAGGAAGAGTTTGACTGGCCCGCACAGAGCCCTGACCTTAACCCCATCAAACACCTTTGGGATGAACTAGAATGGAGATTTCGAGCCAGGACCTCTCGTCCAACATCATTGTTTGACCTCACAAATGCTCTTCTGGATGTAGGTGTAAAATTCCCACAGACACTCTCCAAAATCTTTCAGAAAGCTTCCCAGAAGAGTGGAAGCTGTTATAGCTGCAAAGGGGGACCAACTCCATATTAATGCCTATTGATTTAGAATGGGATGTCATAAAAGCTCCTGTGGGTGTGATGTGTAGGTTCATATAGTATATGGTATACAACCTGCCCTATCTTTAACTAGAATAAGAATTTCCTGATTTACATGTGTTATAGTATGAATTGTGAAGTGGGAAATGAGAGCTCAACAGGCTGCACCAGCAGCAGAGGCAACAGGTTGGAATTGGGAAAATCAGAATCGTTACACCCCTAATGTGAAGCGAAAATGCCATCTGTCAGCGTGCTATTGTTTGAATGACCTACAAACTTCAAAGGTTTCTGTTTAAGCTAAACTGTTAGTAGTAAACACTTAGTAGAGCTGACTGAGGAAATCTGCATTGTGATAAGACATTTGGCTCAAGTCATTTCTAATCTATAAACGAATATATTGGGAAAGAAACACCAGATCTTGGTGAGTACAGAACAGGAATCATGATTCATCATCATATGTCACATCATCATCGAGATCTCTTACCCAGCACTATGAGCTGTATTCTGTGGTCAGGGTCATCCAGGTAGAGCAGCAGCTGCTGGTAGAGGAATTGTAGGTTGGAACGTTGTGTTTCAGTGTCGTAATCTTTCCCTAAAGATGAGAACCAGACACTCAGGGCCTTCAGGGCTTCAGCTCGCACCTCGTCACTGCTGTCATCTACACGCTTTAAAAGCTCTGTAACAGAAAGAAAAAAAAATAATGTGACTAGCAGGGAAAAGATTGTGACTAAGTTGGCTTGACAAAGCCATTGTTATGAAATCCCAGGTGGTTGTTAAGGTGTTGCTATAGTGACCCAGGTGGTTGCAAAGGTGCTGTTAGGTCAGTGCTATGGTGTCCCAGGTGGTTGCAAAGGTGCTGTAAGGTCAGTGCTATGGTGTCCCAGGTGGTTGCAAAGGTGCTGTAAGGTCAGTGCTATGGTGTCCCAGGTGGTTGCAAAGGTGTCGTAAGGTCGGTGCTATGGTGTCCCAGGTGGATGCAAAGGTGCTGTAAGGTCAGTGCTATGGTGTCCCAGGCGGTTGCTGAAGTGTGCTATGCTATACTATGTTTGCAACATGTTTCAAAAACAGTTGGGATGGGGCTTTTTAAGACTAGAAACAATGTAAAATGTTTAAACATTTTACACAGGAGATGCAATAATGCTTGAGTATGAACATCCAGAAAAACATCCAGCCTACTCCTTTATAAGCAAGGACGGGTCAAGTCTTGCTACTTTGCCAAAAAAAACGTAGCAGCACATAATCTGACAGTTTAAGAACAACCAGATTGTTACCAGTATAACGTTCAAAATCCAGGGTTTGTCAAAGTATGGGGATTTTGTGCCCACTGCATGGTTAACATCTGTGAAGGTACTATTAAAGCTGAAACATAAATATACATTTTGGAGCAACGTATGCTGCATTCTTGATGACGTCTTTTTCAGGGATGTCCATGCTTATTTCAACATGACAATGCCAAGCCACATTCTGCAGGCGTAACCAGAGAGTGCAAGTGCTAGAGTGAACTGCCTGTGGTGCAGACATGTCTCCTATTAAAAATGAATGGCACATTATGAAGACAAAATATGACAGTGCCTCATATGGTTGTGCAACTTAAGAAAATTCTGCTTTCAAGACTTGATCAGTTGGCAGTTGGCAACAGCCATGAGAGGCACAAAGGCAGGATGCGAATCTCGCCTCCTGTTCCGCAGCGAGGCCGCTTCACAAAACCTCACGTTCGATCTAGGCAGCAGAGATGCAGAGCGGGGCAGGGACATGGAGGCAGAGCAACGAGCTCTCGTCCCATTCGGCTGACGTCCTCCTCCCGCCGTCACTTGTGTCCCTCGGCGTTGTTGGGAATTCGCCCGCCGTCCCCCACGCACTCACTGTCCTCCTCTCCCTGCCGCCCTTGCTTGGAGTTTGGGTCCTGCCTTCTTGCTGGCTCTTGTGGCCGTCATATACATTATATATACATATACTTATACGTCATATACATACATTATATTGTGTGTACCTGGGTATATCCTGTTGAGTGTATCTGTGCCCAGGCAGTGCGCAGTGAGCGCAAGGAGCGTGTGTAGCGATCTGCAGGCGAGCAGGCGTGCGAGCTGAGAGTCCTCCTCCAGTGCAGAGATCAGATCAGCACTGAGCTTCACCTCCACACTCACAACCTAAAATACACAACACATACATATACATTCATATACACACAAAATAGCCGCATTTCAACAGCCAGGCTGTGGTCCAGGTGGGCTTTAGGCTGCTATGTCATTGAAGGATGTTCCAATTAGAAGGATCTTTTGAATACAGTCGAGAAATGCAGCCTTCATTCTGATCGTTTTTGAGGACACTACTGAGTAACCTTCATGGTCTTCTGTTACCCATAAACCTTTGCACACTTGACCTGAAGAAGGTTTAAGAATGATGGCAGAGAGAAAATCCTGTTTAAAAATGCCAGTAAAATATATAGTAAAATACACAGTATGCTACTTTTTAGCCTCTTTCTGTAGGTGGAATCGTAATTGACTCAGTGTAAGCTCACCGGACAATCAATTTGTCACCCTGCATGTTTAAGGTGGTGGTAACTTCAGGCTCCTGCAGATGGCATCGCATGAGGATGAGTGGGCTATAAATTTCTGCAGGGTGTGCGACGGGATTCATAGATTGAGAAAAGGTGGTACAGTGCAGTGAATGTCTCATTCAATGTGTGGAAAATGGGTCACAAAGCAGATGTTAATGATTGGCAAAAAGGAGTGACTGCATTTGGGCGTGCCAAAGGCCATAGTGTGAAGGAAGTAGCTAAATTTGCGTATGGTCATACAGGTCGACCAGCAGTGGCAAAAAATCCCAACCTACAGGAGACTCTTGTCAGAATTGTGGCTGAAAGATAAACTGATGGACAGGGAGTGCCGGCGTGATTCACGGTTTGTGAATAAAAACTGTTTCGCCTACAGGCAAGAATTGCTTCTTGAACTCAACACAGGTTCTTCACAACCAATTTCTGAAAGAACGCTCCGCAGGGAACTGCATACCATGAACATATGGAGCAGAGTGGCACGCAAGAGGCCTTCGCTCACTTCTGCTCACAGTTGCCCTGTTACAGTGGACGAAGAGACACAAAAAGTGGACTGTTCATGACTGGAAACGTGTTATCTGGTCAGATAAATCTGTATGTGAATGATGCCAGGCGATATGTTCATCGTAGACCGCTAGTGTCCAGTGAGCTTACATTTTTTATTAATATAACCAAATAAAATAGTATTTAACACAAAATGTAATTAAACTGTTATTAAAATATTTTTAAATGTTTAGTAAAAAGGATAAAGAGGGTGTACATCAGTGGTCTCAAAATCAAATTACCTGGGGGCCCCCTAGCCAGGTGGTCATCTTCTATATTTCAGGTACAGATAGGAATCTGAGGCAACAAATATTTTTTACAATCAAATTAAAGGGGAATTTATCCAATATTTTTTAAGTCTCTTTTACTTTTGGCAAAATTTAATACAACTGTAGTGAATAATGATGCCATTCAGAGTGGTTTGATGCAAAAGGAACCTACAACATTGATGACGGTGAATTTAAAGCAAATCAGAAAATAGTCTTCTTTGAGAACTTTGTTGCCTCACAACTCCCTGCATGTACCTCCCCCTTAATGGATTTTTAAGAATACATTTTTAAACCCTCCTCTCAAATGTCTCAGGCATCAGGCAGCATATCTCTAACCACTTCAGGTAATCGCTTTCTATCAGCTAGCATTTAGAGGCATTAAACTCTTCGGATGTCTGGTTCCTATGACCACCACTATGTACAATTCTGACTGTGTAGCATGAACCACTTCTCGTCAAACAAATCTCAATGACTTTGTTCACATCTTAATGATGTAATTGTTTAGCAATCTTGTAAACTCAGTTGAATGCTGCTTTAGGGCCCTATCTTAATGTACCAGTGTGTATTAAAGTTAATGTATCTCTGTTTGCCTCAAACAACCCTAAGCTCTCTCTTCTCAGCCTCCCTCTCCAAATGAGCTGATACCAGCAGCTTATCACATCTGTGTGGAGGAGAAACACACACATACACACACAAAGTGGGGCAAAGAGAGAGGGAGGATGGAAAAACAAAGATTTTGGCATGAAGAACATGAAAGATGACATCATTGTGTGTGGGGTAGCGCTGGATGTAAGCGGAGGAGCTGATAGTTTTAGCAGGAGGAAGTGAACACTGTTAGCGAGATGAAAACCTGCCTGCCTGAGAACAGCTCGGCTTGCACACACCATCACCTCATCCAAACACCAGCGCCTGATCCAAACCGGATCGTATTCACCCCGATTAACTTCTGCTACTGTTGTGGGTAAATAGAAATGCACTTCTGTAATCCATGTCGAGACTTTAAGGGGAATTCCATTGACTTTTCAACATTTCTGCATAATTAAAATCATTCATATGTAAACAAAGTCATTCAGAGAGGTTTGATGTGGTGCTGACAGAAACCAGACACCTGAAGAATTAAATGCCTGTAAAAGGTACATCACAGAAAGTTTTTACACGAAATGCCTCCAAATATGCCACGTAATACCCCTTGACATTGTTAAATGATGCTATAATAATAATAATGATTTAAAACATGGCCTCTTATGCTTACATCTACATCAACCTTTAAAAAGTGAGGTGTATGAATTGAAATGAATGAATGAAATGTAAAAAAAAGAGATATTACAGATCTCAGGAGGGCTGTTACAGTGCAGATTTTGATTGACAGAGTGGGTGGGGCTGTTACAGTGCAGATTTTGATTGACAGAGTGGGTGGGGCTGTTACAGTGCAGGTTTTGATTGACAGAGTGGGTGGGGCTGTTACAATGCACGTTTTGATTGACATAGTGGGCGGGGCTGTGACAGTTCAAGTTTTGATGACAGAGAGGGCAGCACTGTTACAATGCATGTTTTGATTGACAGAGTGGGCGGGGCTGTCGTTTTGTGCTTAAATTCACCATATTTCATCATCATCATGATACAATTCAACAGGAATTGACTTATACTGAGCTGTGCAGTGGCATAACTGTAAGGTTTTCCCCCCCATCATCGGGACAGCGTGTGTATGAATCCCTGCAAAAAACAGGTAATAATTATCGCTGATATTATCACAAACTGATATATCAGTAAAGTCCTAACTTTTAGCTATGGTGCATCAGTGAGCTGGAATACTGAAGCTCAACTCGTTCATCTCTTTTAAACTTTCGGCTTCCAATTATTATCAATCGGCTTGTAACTGATTTAAGCTGAATATTTTAGATCTGTTTTAGCGGCTTGTTTTTATTTGCTTTCTAAACAATTTTAACTGCTTTACTTTTCTTGTTTTTTATTTAAAAGCCTGTTTTACTAACTTCCCTATTTTAATTCTAATTGTTTATCACTTGGTTTTACAGTTTCACAAGTCTACTTCTTACGCTGTCATATTTTGATACTTGTTTCATTGAATGAATGAATTAACTTAATATGTAATTACTGATGTAGATGTAATTCTATTTAAACAGCATAGCAAAATGACAGTAATGACTTTAGGCTTCATGCTAGCATGCTAACGCTCATGGTCCGTATGGTCAGCAGGCACACAGAGACGGTCCTGTATCTGCTGGACACAAGTGTGAGAACCAAAATGCACTGTTACTGAGAAACACACACCCCCACACACACCTGCTGCACAGCTCCAGCCAACACACACAAACACACGAGAGAGAGAGCAGTTTGAGGGAAATGTACGAGGCTCGTTTCCGATTGGTTAAAACATCAGAGCTGTCAATGTTTTGACCAGCCGGTTAAACATCAGCCAGTGGGTGTGTATGTGTCTGTTTTACCTGTTCCTTTGAGATAGCCCCTCCCTGCAGCAGGGCGAGCAAGCAGCTGAGGGCAGAGGTCCTGACTGCTGCGGCTGTCCGGCCTGCGCACCACACCAGGTTCGGCATCAACAACTCCTGCAGAAACACCTGAACATGCTCAACAAAACACCTACAGAGAGAGAGAAAGAGAGGAGAGAGAGGGAGAGAGAGGCTTATTTCTGCTGTATGGAAAATGCACTGAATGGAGACACCACTCTATCAAACTGAATTATGAATTTTGTGACTCATTATATTCCAAGCAGATGTGCAGCTTCTGTTCAGGGCCATTCCGCAAATGATTAAAGTATCTGGACAGACAGTAGCTGAATTATCAGTGGACGGCTCACAGTAACGTTTCATTTTCAGCTACACAGTTGAAAGACCTTTTGCTTCTGATTCTCTTCCTGTCTCTGATCCTCTTTGCACACAGTGTACCACCCAGAACACACACGTGCGCGCACACACACACACACACACACACACACACACACACACACACACACACACACAACATTAACATATCTCAGCAATCTACTTGAGCACCTCCATTCAGTTTAGAAGGTATGCTGCCGAAGCATCAGCAGGGGGCGCTCACAATCCACAGGTTTCAATCGAAGCACAGAAAACAGTGCTTATGTTCAGTCTGCAATTTTAGCAAAACCTGCATATCACTTTCCAGCAGGGGAGGAAAATGACCAGAGAAAACTGCAGTTAAGTGAAAGTAAGGATGTGAAAATCTCACTGAATAAAAAGTCAAAGTTTGAGCCAAAGATATGGTCACTCTCAGAACAAAACCCTGTATCTCCGAAAACTACTTTAAAGGAGAGTTGAAAAACATTCTTAACTTCTAATTGAAGTTTATGTAACAAGATCTTTTTAGAAGTAATTCTGGACCATTTCTGTTGGTCAGTTCCTCGTGAGAGTGTAACACAATGCAAAGGGTAACCAACATTTTCAAATTATATAAAAAAGATTTTAAGGCTGATATGTGACAGCGACGATATACCTGAGAAACAGTCAAAAAGTATTGAAATTTAAACATTTTCGAGTACACAAACAGGTTTAAAGTAAATGTTTTATGAGGACATTTTTTATGAAATGAAAGTAACCTTAATGCAGGACATGAACTGACCACTCTGCCTTATCATAAACTTTTTAAACTCTGAAATATTTACATAATTCAGATGCACAAAGGAATAGTTTGGCTAAAAATTAAATTTACATACTTTTCTACTTACTTTAAATGCAGCCAATCAGCCAAGACATGTTTGGTGTCCAAGTTTTGCTCCTTGAGTTTAGAACTGGAGCTGCCAGGCTAACAGTGCTAACAAACAATGGGAGTGAATAGTCACCCAAACTGTTTCAACAAATACATGGCAAAATTGTAATATATCTGGTGCAAATTATGCTTCTAAGCTATAAACACATTCAGAAAATAAAAAATAGGTAAAATTGCATGGACCATGCACACTCTCTGTGGATGTGATGAAAGTAAGTGTTTGTTTCTTTTTGTTGTGCTCACTCAACGTCATGGCGCATATAGCAAAAAGGTCTAGTTGTGAATTGAGTCGTTTGCAAGAAACTGAAAGAAAAGGCATGTATTTGTGAAAATGGTCTGGGTGACTATTGACTTCCAGAGTGTGTTAGGTACATTAGCCTTTAGCATCCGTTCTAAATTAAAGAAGCAAAACTTTGACACCAAACAAGTCTTGGCTGATGGACTCCATTTGGGGTAAGTAGAAAATTATGGAAATGTATTTTTTCACCAAACTATTTCTTCTTTAAACACAAGAATAAACTTAGCATACAATACATAGTGCAGATGAGTGTGGTGCGGTGATAAAACAGAGGTAGTGACCCTAGCACTTAGACAATAGTATATTTCTGAGCAGTTTTACACTGATTTGAATTTGGCTGGATCGGCGAGAAAAAAAGAGATAAACGTCCCGGCCTTTGAACTTTGTAACGAAGGTCTAAATGAAAATGTAAGGAGCAAAGAAAATCTTCTTTTGGAAATATAACTCAGCAAGGGTGTTTTTCCACTGCACAGGCAAAAAACAAGAACTGACCCAAACGGAAACCAACAGAACATATGGTTCTAGTTCATTTTCCACCTAATTGAGACAGCTGGACCAATTAATATACTTGTGACTAATGATTCCATTGTTGTTTATGATCATTATATGCCACTTAAAAGTGTTCCATTTGGCTAGTTAGCTAATTAGCTTGAACAGAACCTTTGCAGCAAACACAACAGTCACATCACTTTATATCTGATTTACTTACAAAATAGAAAAACAATAGTAATGGGGGAATGTGCAAAAGTTTGGGCACTCTTCCAGCTGTGAATTCTTACAACTTATTTAACTCGTTACTACTTAAGTGACACGTTAGGATTGGTTAAGCAGGCCGAGAATTGTCATGAGAAGTTCCAAAGAGTAATACATTCTATGACTCTTCAAACTTTGTGCTAACACTCAACAACCATGGGCTCCTCTAAGCAGCTGGCAGAGAATCTAAGAATGAAGCTAACTGATGGCTACAAAGTAGGAGATGGCTATAAAAGCCTTATCACAGCATTTTCAGTTTATCAAAGGTTGTTTTTCTCTGACGACTGTGAAAACGTGAAAAAACACACATTCTGTGGAGGCTAGTATAAATACTAATAGTGTCTTTCACTCTGCAGTTCAAAAACATAAAAATACCCACATAAAACTGTAAAAACTGTGGGCTCTTTTCTCTCTTGCACTCGTTCCTTTAAGCAGCTATCATTAAGGCTGGATTCTGCTGCAGGAACAAAACACAGGTCATGAGGGACCATTATTGTGCTTAATTTGAGAGGAGTTTGGGGGGGGGGTTGTTATGGTGAAAGCCGTACTTTCTGTGTCTGTGATCTGTACAGAAAAGCGCCTGCACTGAGGGAGCACAAAAGAACCAAGGATGAGGACGCAAGCACTCACCTGCAGCACCTGCGCAGGCATAAACAACGCAGGTAGAGCTCAGGTGGCAGAAGATTTCAAAGCTTTCAAAGGTTTCAAATTCGATTTGTGTGTGATTCTTTAGGAAACGATTCTGTAGCCGGGTTTCGGCCTACGTCACCGCAGCAGACTGTTCAGATAGGAAACAGTATAGTGACTTTTGTTCAATTCATGTTATTATTTATTTGAATAATCTGTTTTCGTTAATATATTTTGAATTTCTTTGTTATCAATAAGTAAACCTTTTCACCTAATTCAAGGTTTTGTATGCGCATTTTCAAAATTAGCAAAAAAGCAGTGGATGGAAAACTCATCATGAACTCATGAAAACTCAATTCACTTTTTTGTAAGATTTGGTTTATAATTCATTTTTAAATTATCATTTTCCAAAGTCTTAGAATCAAACAAGCTGTTTTTTACTATGTCTTTAAGACTGATTTATATATATATACATACATACATACATACATATATATATATATATATATATGTATATATGTATGTATATATATATATATGTAAATGTATGTGACATCAAAAAAAAAAAAAACTATCTATGGACTATATAGACTGAGGTATGAAGAGTAGGTTTTGAAATCCAGAAATATTTTTAAAATACATGGTATATACAAATGTAACTGGAGGAAGTATTTACACATAGTAGTGTAACACAGGCAATAAAAACCAAAATACCAAGCTTGTTTTTGGCTTTTATATTTGAAAAAAGTCTATTTTATTCTAGAATGTATGCACGTGACGCCACAGTTGGCGGGAGTCACTGGGGTCACGCCTACTATGTGGCAGAAAGACTAACTGAGTGGCAGCGTTAGTGCTGAAATGTGTGTGAATGTCGCGAAAACACAAAAACATCTAAAATGGCAAAGAGCTGTTGTGCGATTGTCTGTGCAAATAGATTCAGCAAGAATTTGGAGCTGTCTTTTTCACAGACTGCCGAAAGCTAAAGAAAAGAAAAGCAAATGGATCACGCGAGGCTGAAGTTGGCTTCCTATTTGCATATTTCTTGTTCTGATTTTCCTATTTCACCTTAAATGGTGCAGCAGTTACATTCTGGCGCCTCAGGTCAGAACGTAACTGCTGCACTATTTAAGGTGGAACAGGAAAATTTGAACAAGAAGCTGGCAAATAGGAAGCTGACTTCAGCTTTATGCGGATAGCTGCAAACTACAGAAACAACTGGAATCAAGGTACCAAAACGTGGATTTGCAGCTGTCATTTTGTATCAGGTACACTCTCAGAAATAAAGGTACTAAACTGTCACAGGGGCCGTTCCCCTCTTGTCACTGGGGTGGGACCCTCAAGGGTACATCTCAGTACCTTTAGTCAGGGAAAATAACTGTATCATAATCCACTGAAATGATATGTTCTAAGCTGTACTGACTCCACACAGCCCGTCTCGTCTCCAGGCTTTTTATTTTATTGTTCTGTTTTAAAACATTCGGTTATGAAAAGGTACAAATCTGTACTTTTCACCTGGAAAAACTTATTTAACGTTCACAATTGGACCTTAAAACCACTGTTATACTTTTGAGGGAACATTTACATCGTTCGTACCTTGATGAACGAAAAATGTACCTGCGCAATACCTTTATTTCTAACGGTGTATGCTGGATTTTGGGGTAAAATCACAGCTTAAGTTATACGCTGTATTGACTACTCATCAATTACATATTTAGCATCTTCATTTTCATATATATTCTGTGTAACTGTGAAGTTTTTGGGAGCGTTTATTAAAAAATTTCCATGATGATGAGCCTTATGTTCTAACAAACAAACAAAAGGGGGGATGGTTAGAATATTTTAGCTAGTCAAATCAACCCCAGTTTTCCTTACAAGGGGTTCTTCGGTAGAGAAACCACAATGCAAGTGTAGACATGCAGATCATTTTGTAGATTTGGAAGCTATATTTGGAACAGAGAAACTGGCGGGAAAGTGACGTCAATGCATACCCTCTATAATGAATCGGTTGCATTGCCACTCGCAGATCAACGCACTCCTGTTATCATTCCACAGCTGATGTGTTAGTGTGAATGACTAAAGCCTGCCCAGTCTGGAGTTTATCTCGACACATCTCTCTCAGAGTCTGAGTCATCATGCAGTCTAGCCTGGCGCAGTCTGAGCAATGCAGAGAAAGCAGCTTTGGGAGGTTAACGCCCGCACTTACTAATGCTAATGCTACACAGCCAATGAAGTGGCACCATTTTCTTTCATTTTTTATTCTCCCCTAAGGTCCACTTATGGCATCTGTGTGCTTTATGTGGTCATTTTCCAGCCTCATTATTCCTCATAAAACTGAAGGTTTCTGTTACTCTGCTCCTAAAACTGTCATACGTAAAAAAGCTCTGTTCTGATTGGCTGCTCTGTAAAGTGCCTAATTCAAAAAGCATTCCCAAGGCGGAAACACTACTTAAAACTTCAGTAATATGGTGAATGGGTGGGTCTAAACTGCTACAGGCTGAAAGGGTGGGAATGAAAGGATATATGCAAATATTGGAACATCTTAAAAACAATGAAATTAAAATGTTATTGCAGTTTAGTTTCCATATATGGATAGAATGGACTGCTGAGTGAACAGTATGTTTTGATAGGTAACTCAAAGTTCTATATTCTGGTTCTAAAGTAATATTTACAGCTGATTACTAGCTCAGGTAACATAAATGTCATGACTATGATCAGTGTACAACAGTAGCTCTCAAAAGCTGTCACCATGAAGAGCCTGCTCGGGGTCGCCTGGGATAGAGGGAGACGATGGCAGGGGAAGAACACGGAGCAGCTGGCAGACAAAAAACAAACTCCACTGTAACGTTAGCTCAGTGAACGAAGGAAATGGAGGGAGATACTTTCCAAAAAGGGAAAAGACAAACAGGTGAGTCACATCAACATTATGATGTCTGTTTGAGTGTGATTTGTGAGCAAACGGTCACTTTTTGCAACAAGAGGAGCAGCTGTCTTTGTGTGTGTATGCGTGTGTGTGTGTGTGTGGCGGGTGATGAGTTGCTGTGTTGAGTGATCTGCACAACTGTAGTGGTCTCACAGGGTTGCAAGAATTAGAGAGCACACGCCCCAGGCTTAACGCATTCCCTTCGATTACCCCCGAGGGTCTGAGGGGCAGAAGGGCATGAGGCGGACAACTGACCAATCAGCAAATCAGATGCTTTGTGTGTATTTGTGTGCATGTGTGTACACACACACACACACACACACACACACACACACACATATACATACACACAGGTTGGTTTTATACAGTGTGAGGACATGGGGTCATTCATATGCATATGTAATAAAATACATACATTTATTTTAAAGCATGTTCATTACACATACAATAAATGCACAGACTACCATTGCCAGCCAGCTCTGCACTGAGCTCACAGACCATTCCTACCAGCTCTGAGTTCACAGACCATTCCTACCAGACTCGAGCTCACAGACCATTCCTACCAGCTCTGAGTTCACAGACCATTCCTACCAGCCTCGAGCTCACAGACCATTCCTACCAGCTCTGAGCTCACAGACCATTCCTACCAGCTCTGAACTCACAGACCATTCCTACCAGCTCTGAGCTCACAGACCATTCCTACCAGCTCTGAGCTCACAGACCAGTACCAGCTCTTCATTGAGCTCACAGTGTGGATGAGAAGGAGCAGGTGTGTGTGTGCGTGTGTTAAACAGCGACGGCCGATGCTGGAATGTTCTAGAGCTTAACGGGACGTCTGAGGAGGAGCATGTCCTTCTCATAAAATCACCCACATCAATTTAACACACACACCGAGACAGTCTGGCTGACTCTGACACACACACATGCACACACACGCTGCAGCCGCAGAAAGAGCTGAACGCTGCTGATTCACACTGGGGAACATGCTGGAGCCCTGGAGGATCTTCAACAACAAACCCAAACAAAAGCGTTTAAGGATTAAGTTGAATCATCTCAAAATCCAGGTTGAAAACTACGGAATGTCACAGACATTTACTCATCCTTAAATTGTCTTTTATGTGGGTCAAAAGAATAGTGACGATGTTTAAAGATGAAAGAAGATCTGTCAGGCATCCTCACTCAAATGACCCTATTTTAAGCAGAGCACAACCACTATGAAAATGTTAAGACCAATTCTGATTTCAAGAGCCCAATGTAATTGTAGATGGTGAATGAATCATTTTAGTTAAACAGAGCTCGTCTGACCGATATTATAGATGCACATCATTTTAGCAAATTTTCATCCAAAAATGGCACTTTTGGTTTTAAGCTGAATGAGAAAAAAGGTCTCCATTACAGGTTTGATGCCACTTGAAAATTCAACATCCCTCTCCATACTCAGACCACAGCAAAACAGTAGAAAAGAAAGAGCCGGCATGCTGATGCCATCTGCAGCCATGGTTTCTTGAAAAGAGAAATGACAGCTACACAACAGCCAAAGTGCAAAGCGTAACTGAAAAATAATGTAATGTATTATTTCATATGACCAACTGTTTATTTCGTGGCCTGTTCTCAAGCTTACATACTTTAATTTATTAAGCTCATTTAAGTAAACTGTTGTCATTTATTGTCACCTTTTTCGGTTTTCAGTCCAGCGTGCTATGAATTTTGGTTTGAGCCAAGAAATTTCATTTTGGTGCATCACTAACTGAAATGACCGTGAAATGTGAAACATGATTAAAGCAAATCTCAAGCATATAAAAAATACATTAGCAAAAACTAAGAAAGTTGTAGCATGTAGTATGTATCTAAACAAACTGTATATATATATATATATATATATATATATATACATACATACACACACACACAAATGCATATTGGTACAAATTGTGCACTAAAACTACAGGAAAATGTCATATTTAAGTGTTCTCTGTAGAGGATGTGTTAACTTTTTTCAGTTAGAAAATCAGCAAAACAAACAACTTGACCAGGGGTGTTCAAACTGCATCTGACTGTATAAAAATAACATACATAATACAGTGCCGGAGCGGAGTATCCCAGAATTCTTAGCAAGTTTTTTTGTTATGTTAACCAGGATGGTGCTGTGCGCGCAGCTTAACATGTATTACTGAAATACAGGTGAACAAACCTGTTATGTTAACCATGCTAGTGTTTTGTCTTCAGCTTAATTTTGTATTACTGTAATACAGGTGAACAAACAGATCAGTAGTCTTAATGAAGACTGGTACAAAATAATGAAACCATTGAAATTCTCAGACATTTTGCTTTAGAGATGCCTGTTCAGAATTTCCACCAATACTAATATCTGTGAAATCTTAATTTTGGTCAGGTTTAGTGGGCAGGCCCTAATTCTAACATGTGCTAGACTCAAGAAAACCGAGAGGTAACTTCCATTCTCCACCCAGGAAAACACTGAAATGGAAGAAAAAACTGTTTGGTAGAGAAACATAGATGACCTGTTTCTTTTAGGCTAATTGACCATTATTAAGGGCAGGGAAACTGAATTTTTAGTAAAACGCCTCTGGCAGTGTAATTAGAGGTGGAGACACTGTGCAAGTGCGTGAGCTGTCTGAACCCAGGCCCAAATGTTTCAGCATAAATTTGGAGCCACGAGCCATACACTGCTCCAATTAGACCATGGAAACCACAGAGACCATGGAAATTATGGTCTGACAGGAGCAGGGTAAGGCTTATGACTCCAGATTTCTGCTTTGAGCCTCAGTATGCTTCAGCGGTGATATATGGACACTCAGTTATTGTGTAATATGTCTGTTTGGGAGTGTGTGCATGAGTTTGACTCACCCCTGTGAGTTCAGCGTATTCCTGGAGTTCAGCAGAAGTTTGGACAGCACGGTGAAAACATGCAGGCGCAGCTCAGCGTCTCTGCTGGGCTCCAAACAGCTCCGCAACAACGTCAGGAACGGAGGGAGAAACTCTCCCAGCACAGGACCTGCAGACACATACACTCTGTCAGGACGTGGAGTCGTTCATGTCCTGATGTAAAAAAAAACGTTAATTATTAATGTAGTTTACATTACACACTAAGTACTGTGCAAAATTCATAAACTACCCTTAATTTCATTTCCAGTCAAAACGGACATTCACCAAGTTATTCAATTTTTCCGGAAATATTTCCAAAGAGATTAAAGATACTCCACTTGCATTATTTCAGTGAAAGTTGAAGAAAAATAAATAAAAAAAATCTGGAGTTTGCAAAACTGGAGTTAAAACACACAGAGAACATGGGGCTCCCAACAACCACCTGCAAGACCTGGTAGACAACAAAACTGTCCCCATCAGATAAACAGCACTTAAAGATGAGTTGGTATAGTGTACTGGGTAACACCTCTGCCTTCTACGTTGTAAACTGGGGTTCAATCCCCACCTGGGTAGGCACCTTACACTATACCAATAACACTACCTTCGCCTACCTGTGTAAAAATGATCAAATTATAAGTTGCTCTGGATAAGAGCATCTACCAAAATGCCACAAAGATGTAAAGATTTCATCTTTGAGAGAAATTTGACCTCCAAACTTTCTTCAGATTATTAGATTGTCAGCTGTTTCATTTCTCCACTGTGAGAAGACAACACTGGAAGAAAGTGTAGCTGTCAAAAAAGCTCTTACTGAGAAAAAGAAACATAATGCTAATCAAACAAAGGAGCTGCTGGTTTTCTCAGAACAGACTGGCCACCTCAGAGTCCAGACTGAACTTTGGAATGCAAGCTGTAATAAAGGCAAAAGGTGTTGAGCTGTAGTTGTGATGATTCTGTGTGATTTTCTATTAAATACAACCCCATTTCCAAAAAAGCTGGGACGCAGAGCAAAATGTAAATTAAAACAGAATGCAATGATGTGCAAATCATTTTAACCCTGTATTAAATTGCAATTAGTACAAAGACAACAATAAAGTGTTGGTTTTTGAAGATAATATACCTATTTTGAATTTGACGCCAGCAATAAAAGCTCTCAGTTTCAACATTTGACTGCTGTCTCTGTAAAATTTTCAATTAAATAAAAAGTTTTTGCGCAGCATGCTTTTATTGACATTCTAAACAGCTTCCCATCTTTTTTGGAATTGAGGTTGTATATGTTTTCTGCTTTTGTCCTGGTGATGAAAAACAAATGACTTGCATTTAATGGCCAATTTGATAATGGAAAATTAAGGTTGGTCTCTGACTTTTGCACAGCAGTGTATGTAAGTACTTACATGTTATAAATATT